CTCATCCTACCTTGAAAACCTGAACCTTGAATTCTTGAAGACTAGAACCATTGATCATTATCGAGAGTTTTCTCAAGTGACTCCCGTCATTTGAGATGTAATTAACTATAGGGGCTTGCCTCTATAGGGAACTTGGAACCCAGGTAAAATAAACCCTATTTAATCTTTATATTAGGTAGGGGAATTTGTCGGTCATATATAAAAGGTTCGCAGACCAAATGAATGTCACAAATCTCTTAGTTTGCAGGATTGGGTCTATCGCCGAGGTTTACACTTATCTTTCGGGAAGGTGTAGTATTCGCGGTATCAGGCACGATTATGTAAACTATTGGACGAATGAGATCCATTTGGTCTCATTTTTCAAAAATTAAAACATACTACTTTCAAAACCCAAACTATATATTTATTATATTAAATTAAATTTCCAAAATTATTTTTTCATATTCATATTTTCAAATCTATCTATATGTATCGAAAAGTTGACCGACAATAGTGAGTATATGTTACTTCAGGATTCTATTTGAAGAATGTGACATTATTCTTATAGAAATAGAGTTTAAAAAAAGATCAAACATATTCCGAAAAATTTCTTACGCTGCATCAAAATGTAAGAAAGCAAACAAAACCAACTGTCTTAATCCAATCTCACAAAGGACAAATAAAGTCGGCAAAAAAAAATGTGGTTTAGTAGGGTAAATAGCTCATACTTGTCCTTCATTGTGAGTATAGGTTACTTCAAGATTTCCACTTTCTGTAGCAACCCAAACCTGAAAGTGAAAATGTACACCATGAGATTTGATAACATAGTTTTGTCAAATAATAATACAACAACCCGAAAAAGGCTGACCTTTACTGTGCTGTCTAATGAACACGATAGCAAAAATTGATTCCAACATAATAAAGACATAACAACAGATGTATGGTCTGTTAGAGTCTGGATGCATTGTAAAGTACAAATGTCCCAAACCTGAAAAAAATATATATATGAAGTTTTAGTGCTATAAAGAAGGTGGCTTGAAACTATGGGAGAATAACTTTTAGAAAAGAATAAAAAGTTTAAGGACATGAATGATGTTATCAGGATAAAACAGTATGCACACAAATCCCTACCAAGACGAAAACAACAAGAAAACAAAATGTTGAAATAAATGGTCAATTAATAACGCTCCAATGCGGCTTAATTATAAATATCATCTTATTTTGAAATGTGAAGTCCTAGGACGAGAATCAACAGAGGTCACTAGTCAAAACAGATGTAACGGCCAGCTATCTGGTGAGGAGATCCAACAAGGTTTGATGGCTGTAATAAGAGTTAGAGAATAACTTCTTCTTGTCTTCAAACATAACTCTCATGATAAATGATGTTATATTTTGTTCAATTTGAAATTTTTACAAATGCCAATGCTTTATTTAAATGAAATTTGAAATTATTTTAAAATAATATTTCTTAAAATTGAATGGAGACTGCAAACCATCAGCTAGAATTCCAACCCTTGCGCTGAAAAAATGATAAAATTACTGATATATGTGCCCAAAAGCTTGTCTAAGTGCACTTCAGCATTAACAAGAAGTGTAATACAAATCACTAAAGACAAAAAAATCTTTAATAGCCTGATTATTATCCCTTAAAGCATGGATCTTTTAAAACATCAAACATATAACTACTTTCTCATAATATATTACTTTTTTCATTCACTAAAGCATCGCAAAAACAAATTTTCTACATTTATTACTTAAAACATATAGCATATTCATGTTCATTCTCAAAAAATTCCATTATTCATTAGTTACTTCTTCATGTTTTGTGTTGTAAGAAAACAACGGAAACCAATTCGAGAGATCCGAATCAAAACATAGATTAGAAGTATACAATAATATAACACAAAAAATGCAATGAACACGATTTAACATGAAAAAACCCAAAAATGGGACAAGACCACAGAGTCACACCAAACCAAGAAATTTACCATGAAAAAGAGGAGAATTGTACAGATTACAACACCCTCAAAACTCTCTACTTCTTGAAACTCACAAACACTCCTCTCACACGAGATACCACAGAAATCCACTCACTTCATCTCCTTCACGCACTGCTCATTATGTCTGCCTACATTGGCAATTCTACTAACATGCTACGCATCGGAAAAAAAAAACAAAGACTTAAAGCATGAACTAAAAAAATGGGTTACATGCGCCTAGGTGTCCCCCCGAGTGCAAAGTTTTCAGATGCTCTGTTTCAAGACAATCTGAGTGTAGTTGCACCCCTCTTGGGCACTGGACTGCTCCACAGTCTGTTCCTGAATTGTTGTTGGGTGTTGAGCCCCCCCCACAACAATGCCGGGTCGCCTAGCCAAACGTCGGTGACCCAGTGGAGGTGTTGGGTGCGATGTTTTCTTTAACACATCAGCCTCCACATATTACAATTACTCACTTGGAGACTGATTGTAATCACCTCTTGACACGCCTAAAAATTGTCTACTTTTTCATATATATTTTATGCTCAATTTTAATAATTTTTAATGATATTACACTTTAAAGGAATGTATTTGCATATTTTTGGCTTCAGGCATAAGAAAATGACTTTTTGAGAAACTAAAGCAAAAATTATGTAATTTGGAGTAAAAACGAGTAAGAAAGAAAATTCCGACTTGGCACATTTCGATATGACTTTCTATGCTTAATCTACTTTACATTTCTCACATGTTTTTGAAAGAAATTACACTTTCAAGAAATGTTGTTTTATGTTTATTTTGTAGGTATATCTATTAGGAGTGAAACACAACTGAAACGGGGAGAAACTGAGCAAAACGGTGGAGCTGCTGCAAAGTGGCGCCTGAGGCGCCAAAATCCAGAGAACTGGCGTCTGAGATACCAAAGACGGCATAAGATGGATTAAGGCAATTCGGGATGAATTTTGAGCGGATTTTGAAAGCTTCAAAGGATTCAAACGCCTCATGGAGTGATTCAATGCATTTAGACACTATGGAAGACTCTTTAATGAAGGGATATGTCTCTTGAATGGATGGACATGTCTTTTGGAGTTCAAAAGATGTGACTTTTGGAGAGAAATTTGGAGAGAATTTTGAATTTCTTTTGAAAGGAGGCAGCCCCTAATTAAAAGGGAGATGAGTCTAGGGCATGAGGGTGGCGTGAGAGTGAGAGGAAGGCTTTGGAGACGAGAATTTTTTTCTAGAGTTGTAAGCGGAGAGAGAAGGTGAGAGATTTCTTCTTCATTACATTTCTAGGAAAGAATTGAGTGTGATTGTGAAGAGAGAAAGTGCTAGAAGGGAACTTCAAGAGATTTTATTGAGAAGAAGTGTGAGATAAGTTATGTTCTTTTCTTTCTTTGTTTTGTAAACTTATTTTTATATATGAAATATGTGTTTTGTCGTATCCTCATGAATTCTAAGTAGTCTTTTTTAAGTAGTCTTTTTTATCCTTCTCCCTATAATGAAATTTGGTTTTGTGAAGAATTGATTTGTTTTATAAGGTTTAAAATGTTAATAATTTGTGATGATTCAAACTTTGATCTTCATTTACATTTTGATTTGACCAATTGAAAGGTTAAAATTTGTTGAGAAACATATAATCCGAAAGGGCTATGATTTCTATAACATTGTGAGAGTTACATTCAATTCCATGAGTGAGGATGTTATCCATGGGATTGAATGTAAATAAATATGGAAATATAATTTGTTGGATGCAGAATTGAAGAATTTAAGATGGCATATTAAAATCCTCAATTTGGTCCAGTTGATTGAAAACTAATGTGAGATTGTTAGCCCTTAGGTGAGGGAGTAGTGGGAGTTTTGGAGTGGCAGCCTATATCTCTCAGCCAACCACGGATTAGGGACCAAACTCTATATTAGTCAATGTTCTTTGTGCACTTGAAAGAGTATAAAGAATGAGATTTCTCCTATTTGACACAAAATAATTTTATATATATAATTTTAAAAGAATTTAATTTCCTCTCAATCCATATACTCATTGTAAAGGGGAATGATATTTTATTAAATTTGAACTCTTCGTTACAAAACTTTGTTTAGTCTTAATAAACTTAACTTTGAAGTTTAGAAATTAGTTTAATAACTTAGTTCTTTTACTTATATTTCTGTTATCATTCATTAAACTCATTTTAACTTGTCTTTCTTACTTTAATTTCTATAGTTTGAATATTGTAATTTATGTTATTATCATAAAAATTTTCATCTTTCAAAAAATTTTCATCTTAATTTTCATCTTTCAAACTAAGACTTGATAGTAGTAGACTAAAATTAGCCTAAGAGATTTCTTATTGCGCTTCTCTGTGGAATCGATATTGTCCTATATTACTTAAAGCGATACGTGCACTTGCGTATAACTACTAGTGTGAACTTTTTATATTTTTTATATAACATTTTGATTTTGCACATTAAATACTTAATATAAATTGGGTCAATATTTTGACCATATTTTTTAAAGTTAAATTACTAAGTAAGTTTGGGACGGGTCAAGTTTTTGGCATTGTTACCAGGGAGTTAAATTGACATAAAACAGGCAGAAAAATAACAATCATCAGGGGCGCATCACCTCTCCTCCAAACTTACACCATTTTCATACAGCGTGGCTCGCCCTCTAGTCTCAATCTTCATGAACACCAACTGAAGCAAAGAATAGCTTCGATTTCTCAATTGTAACCACCTTAGTCAATATATTTGTATTATTCTAAGTTGTATTTATCTTGTCCAAAGAAAACTTACCATCTTCCAAGAGTGAACGAATAAAGTGATGCCTCAATTGAACGTGTTTCATCCTGGCATGAAAAACGATGCTCTTAGCTAGATGAATAACACTCATACTATCACTATAAAGCTTTCAAATAAAGTGCAATGTTGACTATTCCTTTCATGTAAATGAGAGTGTTTCTTTCAAGCTTTCAAATCCCTTGTTACTTGCTCAATTTTGTCATAAAGTTCAGCAGTCAAATCATTATTGTTATTCTCAATGATAGCAATATACACAGCTTCTGTAATTTAAAGTGCAACAATGTATTGTAGCTTGGAGACCCAAGTCAGTGTTGTGTTCCCCAATATGATGACATACTCTGTTGTACTTCTTCTATTATCAATATCCCCTATCAGATTTAAATCTAGAAATCCCTATAGAATAATTCCTGCACATCTGAAACATAGTGCCTTGTTTATTATTCCTTTCAAGTATATGAGAATTCATTTTCTCGCATTCCAATAATGTTTTCTTGGACTACACATGAACATGTTGACCGCTCACACCATATGTGCAAAATTTGGTCCCGGACATATCATCGCATACATCAAACTTCCAACAGCTGAATCATGGGAGTTATTTTCATTCGTGCTTGCTCTGCTTCGGATTTAAGTGATTGTTTCTTAGATAGCTTAAAGTGACGACCTAAAGGGGAGCAAACTAGTTTTGCCACACTTATATTGAACTTGTGTAGAACTTTCTCAATAATCTCTGCTCAAGACAACTTTGCACATTCACTCATGTCTCAGTTGATTCTAATACCAAGGATTTTGTTAGTTTGACCTAAATCATTCATCTCAAACTTTCTTGAAAATTGTTCCTTCAAGTCTCTAATATTCTTCATATATGCTTCTACAATCAGCATGTCAAACACATACAATAGAAACACAATATAACAATAATCAAAATGTTTGATGAAGCAACAGTAGTTTGTTTCACTATTCATGTATCCACTGTCTTACTTAACTATGTCAAACGTTATGTATTACTGTCTTCAAATCTGCTTAAAATCATAAAGGGTTTTTCTTTAATCTGCGGACTTTATATTTTTTTCTAGAATTTCATATCCATGCGACTGCACCATATACATTTTCTCTTCTAAGTAACCATATAGGTGGGTTGTCTTCACATATATCCGTTCTAGATGTAAATCTTTATCTGCTACCACACTCAGCACAGCACTGTTAGTCCATGAGTGGTCTA